CCCCCAACACGCCCTCCCGCGGAGCCAGGCTCACCATGGGTAAGTCCCACCGGACAGCCGGGACTCGGTGCTGTGCAGCGGATCCCTGCGGCCCCCAGCGCCCCGCTCCTCTCCTCCCGCCGGACTGCGGGCCTGGCCTAGGCTGGGCAGGGGCCTCAAGCGCCTCCTTCCATCCTCCTTCTGCCTGGGAAGGGAAAGTGGCTGATAGCAAGTGGCGGGGCGCCTGCTGACCCCAGTCCTGACCACCCAGGCATGGGAGCTCCCTGTTCTGCAAAGGAGAAAGTGGGGGCTCCCAAAGGAGCAACCTTCATCAGCTCGCTGGGCCCCGAGATCCTGGCACTGTTTGGCCTGCAGTAGGCAAAACAGACACCACCACCCCACACTCACACACACTGGGGTTTGGGGCCTGCCTGGTGCAGAACTGGCTGTGGTGGGGAATTTGTGTGTCCTTTCTGGATTCAGAGGTCCCAAGGGCCATTCAGCCCCTCTTTCTTTAGTGAGCAGCTATTTTGTGCCATGCATAGGTGTTGGCGATTCCCAGTGAGCAAGACAGATCTCTCTGATCTTTGAGGAGCTGGATAAACAAGTGCCCGAATATTAGATGCAGTGTGGAGTACAGAAAATGAGGCCCCAGCACATGGGTTTGGTCGGCAGGCAGGTAGGGTGGGCTGCCTGGAGCTGAGCCCTTACTCAGAAGCAGGCCTGCTGAGTTCTAGGAGAAGAGCTTCCCAGTAGCAGGAGCAGTAAGTGCAAAGGCCCTGAGGCAAGGATTCACTGGTGTGCCCCAGGCCAGTGTTGGTAGAGCCTAGTGGACAGAGGGCAGGGGTGAGCAGTGCCAGAACCTGCAGGGCCTTGTAGGATGAGACACTTGGTTCTTATTCCAGATGATATAGCTGAAAGATTATTTAACTATAGAGTGGTCCTGGGGGTGTGTGACCTGAATTATCTCTTAAAAACCTCACTCTTGTTTCACTCGGAATCATAACTAACATTAGCTATAAGGGTAGGCAGGCATATGAGGTAGATATTATTATCCCATTTGTAGGTGGAGGAAGCTCAGAGAGGTTAAGTGAGTTACACATGGTCACACAGCGGTGGAAAAAAGAAGCTGGGGCAGAACTCCAACACTCTGGATTCCTACCACCCAGCCTCTCCACACAACAGTGGCACAGCTGCTGAGCAACTCCAGCTCTGACTCCATAGTCCATCCCTCCACATCACCGCACAGTGGGAAACTGAGGCCCAGAGAAGTCAGAGTCTTTCCCAGAGTACCGGCGTGGCTCCAGGTCCTTGCTAGCACTTTTCCTGTCCCTCCTAAGTCAATTCAACTGCTAGTGTCTAACTGGGGGTGGAGAACTGTGACACCCGAGCCCCCGTGGGCTATTTGTATCGCGGAAAGCTCTACAAGTCTCCCCATCAGGGAAGCACGCACAGGCAGCGTGTGCGTGTGACGGGGGGTCCACAGCACCTTCCCACCCGAAAGCCCCAGGCCGTGCTCACTCTCCCTGGGGGATCAGGGAGTAGGCTCTGTCAGCTCCAGGACCAGGACTGGGCTCGGGCCCCACTGCTCCCACCTCCTCATGACCTGGAGCGCTTGTCACTTCCCTGACCTTCCCCGACCTTCACCTGGTCGCTTGCTCTAAAACATCTGCATCCCTGGGGGCCATGAGAACGACGTGCGAAAATGAGCTTGCAGCGCTCAGCTCACTACCCCCACTGGGTACGGGTCAGTTAATGTGAGATTTTCTTTTCGATCACACCTGATTTGGGGACTTTTGGAGTCAAACTTCATGAGTTCAAATCCCTGCCATCTCTCACACTGTGCCACCTTGAGCAAATGTCTTTACCTCTCTGGGCCCCACTGCTTTGCCTGCAGAATAGGAATGACAGCCCCACCTGTGTCACGGGGCTGACAGCAGGGCAAGGTGGCTCCCGACACGGGACCAGGTGTGGATGCTCCGTAACAGACAGGAGTACCTAGGGCTCCCAGGAGAGGGGAGGGGAGTGAAGCGGGAGGAGAGTGGACATTTGGGCAGCCAGGGCAGTGAAGCCGGAGGACCATCGGGTGCAAAGGGAACAGCATGACACTGTACAGTGTGTCCCCGGAACAGAAGTATCTCGGGGAGAGGGCACAGGACCAGGACAAAGGGGAGAAGTGGCTGAGGAGTTAGGCCAGCAGTGAAGGGCTTGGATGCCGTCCTCAGGAGTCTGGACTTGCATGCGTAGGTGGTGGGGGCCGTGGAGACTGGCGGGGGTGGCCCTCCCCAGTCTTTCTGATGGCCCTGCAATCTTTGGGGCTGTCCTTTCTAGCTCCCTGGGCCAGTGTGACTTCACCATACTTTGTTACTTGGGATTTTCAAGACAGCCTTTTCCCCCTCTTCCTCTGCCCCGCTATCTGCTGCCTCTTCTACCTCTGGTTTGCCCTTCTTGCTGGGAGGTCCCTGCAGCAGAGATCTTCAGTGTGTGGCTTTTGGCCCCAGCCCGTTGCTTCCTGGCTGTGAGAACACTCCAAGCCTTAGTTTCCCTGTCTGCAAAGTGGGTTCAACCGAGCACCCCCTGGGCTGTTACGAGGATGGATCGACAGCAGGCATGTGGAGATGCTCCAGAAGCGAGATCTGTAAATTATTCCCATTTATTTCCCTTTGCTTTCCTCTCGGCCACCATCATCCCAGTCTGCACTGGTATGTTTTCCAGCAGAGCCAGGGGGCGGTCAGCTTGGCCTTGGCCTTTGGCTGAGCTCCCTTTCACCCCAGTGGTAACCCAGAGATGGCAAACAGTCCTGTGCTTTAGCTTCGATTGCCTCACATGGCCTAGAAGAACTGTCCCCTGGGGGACCTGGGCAGGTAGTCATCCAGGATTTCCTGAGGGGCTCAGCCGGGGAACGGGGCAGGGAGCAGGGAGAGGGGTAAGTTGTCCCCCTGCAGGGAGACTGCCCGTGAGCAGGGCAGGGCAGGGTGGGTGGAGGATCAGAGTGAATGCCATCCTGCCTAGGCCTGATGCAGAGCAGGCAGGAGTGTGCACCTTGCTCAGACAGCCTGCTTTGGGTTGAGGCTTTGCCCAGTACTTCCGACCTTGGGCCATGCACTTGCTTTCTCTGGCTGTCAAGATATTCACTCATAAGCAACACAGCAGCCCACCTCATCAAGTCATGTTTTTAATAAGTAAATTAATTAAAATAGCACCCATTTTTTGTATCACATTAGCCAACTCTAAATATCCACGTGTAGCTGGTCATATCCAACTGCTCAGATACAGAAGTTTCTATCATTGCAGAGAATTCTCCTGGCTAGTGCTGTTCTAAGAAGAAAGGAAATAGAATGTAAACACTCAAACCAGCAGGGGCAGGGTGTGCCACAACAACAAAAACTTAATTGATTTATCAAAAGCAAGAAAAATATCTTGATAGTGCAAGTGCAGTGAACAGAAGGCACAAAAATAAAGGGCAGGAGCAGATTCAAGCTTATCTGCAATTGCAATAAATGTGAATAAGTTCATTTTTATTTGTTCCTTTTGTTTTTTGGTACAGGGGATGGAACTCAGGACCTTGCACCTATGAGGCAGATAAGTTCACTTTTAAAGGAGAAACTCTCAGTCTGAACTTGAAAGCATCTAGATCTATGCTGCTTTTTTTCCCCAGGTTGGGGAGTGGTTAGGGATTGAGCCCAGGGCCTCTGCACTGAGCCACATCCACAGCCCCTGTTCTAATTTTTTTATTTGAGACAGGGTCTTGGTAAGTTGCTAAGTTGTCCAGGTGGGACTGGAACTTGCTAACCTCCTGCCTTCACACTTGGTGTTCCCTCATCGAGTCTGTTTCTCTGCCAGATTTGCCATCGATTTCCTGTCTCTATTCAGATTTCTGTTCAGATGCCCCTTCCACAGAGGGCACCTAGCTGAGGACCCTATTTAATTCTCCTATCATTGTCAATCCTCTCTTGCTGTTTTATTGCTCTGTGAGTTCTACCACCAACTGCAATCGCATCATATATTTATCATCTGCCCCTGCCTGGCAGAATGTCAGGTCCTTGATAACACCACTGCATTTCTGGCCTCCAGAATGCCACCTGGCATGTGGCAGGGGCCAGATAGCTAAGTCTGGGTGGACAGGTGGATGGGCAGATGGGTATGTGGAAGGGTATATAAAGGATGCAATACAAAGACAGGTGGATGAAAGGATGGGTTTGTGGACAGATGGATTCATAAATCAATGGGTGGCTGAACAAATTAATGAGTAGATAAATGGAGAGATCGATGGATGAATATGTGGATGGATGCATGGATGGATGAATGGCTGGATGGATGGATGGACGGACAGATGGATGGACGGATGGATGGATGGATGGATGGACGGATGGATAACAGATGGATAAGAAGATGGAAGACAGATGGAAGGAAGGGAGGAAGAAAGTAGGGAGGAAGGATAGAAAGAAGCAAGCAGGCAAGGAAGGGTAAATGAATGAACAAACACATGGTTGAGGAGTAGCTGGGTGGGTGGAGGATGTGACCAGTGGAGGGGATGTTGGATGCATACTCTGGCCAGAAACCATTCTGACTGTAGGCTGTCATTTTCATTTTCCAGGCTGTCCTCCGCCTGTCCTGCCCCTGTGTGCCTCTGTGTCTTTGTTGGGTGGCCTGACCTTCGGCTATGAACTGGCAGTCATATCGGGTGCCTTGTTGCCACTGCAGCTTGACTTTGGGCTGAGCTGCTCACAGCAGGAACTGCTCGTGGGCAGTCTGCTCCTGGGGGCGCTGCTCGCCTCCCTCGGGGGTGGCGTCCTTATCGACCACTATGGCAGGAAGCGAACCATCCTGGGGAGCAACCTGGTGCTAGTGGCAGGCAGCCTGAGCCTGGGGCTGGCTGGTTCCCTTCCCTGGCTGGTCCTGGGCCGCTCAGCTGTTGGCTTCGCCATCGCACTCTCCTCCATGGCCTGCTGTATCTACGTGTCAGAGCTCGTGGGACCTCGGCAGCGGGGAGTGCTGGTGTCCCTCTATGAGGCAGGCATCACCGTGGGCATCCTGCTCTCGTACGCCCTCAACTATGCCCTGGCCAGCGCCCCCTGGGGTTGGAGACATATGTTTGGCTGGGCTGCAGCACCTGCTCTCCTGCAGTCTCTTAGCCTCCTCTTCCTCCCGGCTGGTGCAGAGGAGACTGCAGGGTATAAGGACCTCGTTCCACTCCAGGGAGGTGAGGCCACCAAGCGAGGCCTGGGGAAGCCACGCTATACCTTTCTGGACCTCTTCAGGGCCCGAGATAATATGCGAGGCCGGACCACAGTGGGGCTGGGGTTGGTGCTTTTCCAGCAACTAACAGGGCAGCCCAATGTGCTGTGCTACGCATCCACCATCTTCCACTCAGTCGGCTTCCATGAAGGGTCCTCCTCTGTGCTGGCCTCCGTAGGGCTCGGCGTGGTGAAGGTGGCAGCTACCCTGACTGCCATGGGGCTGGTGGACCGTGCTGGCCGCAGGGTCCTACTGCTTGCTGGCTGCGCCCTCATGGCCCTGACTGTCAGTGGCATTGGCCTTGTCAGCTTTGTGGTACCCATGGACTCTGGCCCCAGCTGCCTGGCCATGCCCAATGCCACCCAAAAGACAGGCCTCCCTGGAGGCTCTGCACTGCTGAAGGACCCATCTCTACCTCCTATGCCAACAACCAGGGGGGACCAATGGGCGCCAGTCTCGTTAACTGCTAAGAAAACCAAGTTCCACCCAGGAGCCAGAGCTGCCACAGCTACTCCTCTGCCAGCCCTGAGCACCACCTCCTCAGGGCCCCCTGATCCCACCCCAGGGCACACACTGCTGCGCTGGACAGCACTGGTCTGCCTGATGGCCTTTGTGAGCGCCTTCTCCTTTGGCTTTGGACCAGGTAAATGGAATTTCTTGCAGGTAAATCTGGAACCTCCTTCTACCCCTCTTCCTGGGCAGCTCAAGGCCCTATCAGTCCAGAGGGGCACTGGAGGCAGGCCGTCCTGAAGCTTCAGCACTCCTCCCAGGCTGGGGGCCTAACTTCACATTAAAAAAATAATAATAAAACCCTGGATAATTTAACTAGAAAGGTTTACTTGAAAGAAATTTAGCACAGAGGGTAGAAACCAGCCATCCCAGTTTGCCTGGGACTGTTCTGGTCTCAGCACTGCAAGTCTGTGTCCCAGGAGACCCCTGAGTCCTGAGCAAATAGACACTGTGGTTACCCAAAAGGGATTCTTGCACTATAGAGGGGCATGAGGCTGGGGAGACTCTGGGGTCAGGGGCCTGACATTTTCCCTGACTCACATAGCCGGGAGGTCACCTGCTTGGCCCACTGGCACCAGGCCTCAGCCCAGGAGCCCCTCTGCTCTCCTGTCCTAGTGACCTGGCTTGTCCTCAGTGAGATCTACCCTGGGGAAGTCCGCGGGAGAGCCTTCGCCTTCTGCAACAGCTTCAACTGGGCTGCCAACCTCGTCATCAGCCTCTCCTTCCTCGATCTCATCGGTGAGTCCTTTGATCTCATCCCTCAGCCCAGTTCTATCCAGATCCAGAAACAGTTTCCCTCAGACAGAGCCAGGGCTTCAGTTTCAGATGGGTCACAAATGACAGAAAATCCAAAGTAGCCCAATTTATATACAAAAGGGAATATTGTAATAATATCTGTATTAAATCATTGACATGAACAGGGTGAGGTGGCTTCAAGCAGAGCTGATCCCTGGGCTCTGTCGCAGCTGATGCCCATCTTTCACTCCTTTCACCTCTGCTTGTCATCTCACACCCAGGCAGACCAGTCTCACATGACAAAGATGACTGCCAGCAGGCCTCTGCAGTTTGGAAGCTGAAGAAAGACCCCCTTTCCCACCGGCTCCAACCTAAGTCCTGGGACAAGCCCTCATTGGCTCAGCAAGATCACGTGTCCATCTCTGAGCCAATCACAGTGGCTATTCTGATGCCTAGCTCTCCTTTGCTCTAGGTCCCAAGGCCCAATACAGTACTTAAGACTCAGTTATTTTCCTTCTCCCTGTGGCCAAGAGTTCCCACCTCAGGGCGATGGCCAATTCATGGAGCTTGGAAGACGCTGGGCAAGGAAGTCACCCATTATGACTGTCTCCTGGCAGTCAGAGACTCAAGGCTTCTCCCTGCTGCCTGAGACGTCAGGCATTCCTGTAAGTGTGGAATGAGTGCGTGAGACGGAGGAAAGGAGCAGAGGGAAAGAGGAAGAGGATGGGAAAGAGGGGCCAGGCTCATCATCATCCCCATTTCATAGATGAAAAAGCACGTCCTTGCCAAGCCCAGCCAGGTAGTCAGAGGACAGGAACCTGGCCCTGCAGACTCCCAGCCAGACCTTCACCAGACTGCTTGGAGGAAGTGTGGCCGTGGCTGTGAGTGGACAGAGCTGCATCCAAAACATAATCGGTGCTTCTGGGGCAATGAAGTCCCTTTGTGGCCTCCTTTCTCTGTCTTGGGGTCCAAGGACTCGGGGTCATCCCCACCCAGGTCTCTGGCACTGGAACCCTGTTCCAACCTGTGGCTCCAGGAGGAGGAGGAGCGGAGCTGCCTGAGCCTCCCTCTCTGTCTTCTCCCCGACCAGTCAGACAGGCAAAGTGGCCAAAGCTCAGTTCCCTGACTGACTGCCAAATGACCCGCTGCTGGGATTGCTGAGTGTTATTTTTGAAACCGGGCTTTACCAAGGCTGTGTCCCTGTAGCTGTTTCCTGCCGCGCTGAATGTCACTGCCTCAGTTCAGATGTCCAAATTCTGAGCATGGCTAATGTGTTAGATGTGCATGAGTGATTTTGCCCCTGTTTGGGTTGGTGGGTTTGTGCCCTGGCTCTTTCCCCACCGCTGGGATGGTTGGTTGATCAGATTTGTGCCTTCGGGTACTTATTGACAGCCCCTTGGCTATTCCGCAGACCTGTGATCCAGAGCCCTTAAGTGACCTGACTTCCAGCACTCCACCTAGAACCTTCCAGAAAGCCCAGGCTGCATGGCCCTCATACCCGCCCTTCTGTCCCCAGGTGCCATTGGCTTGTCCTGGATCTTCCTGCTCTATGGACTGACCACCATTCTCGGCCTTGGCTTCATCTACTTTTTCGTTCCTGAAACAAAAGGCCAATCACTGGCAGAGATAGACCAGCAGTTCCAGAGCAGCCGGTAGGAAGTGGGTGTGGATGGGTGGGTCCACGGGGGAAAGAGCTGCTCCCAAACTTGGGCCAGGGCTTGGGACTTCAGCCCTCACCCTCTCTCTTTGCCAGATATCTGTTTTTTTCTTTCCATCTCCTCTTAACTGGATGCCCTGAGTTTTGTCCCATCCTGTTCTCACAGATATTTTGTGTCTTCCTGCAGCAGCTTTTCATTTGACTCTAAGGCCCAGCTCACAGGAATAAAAATCTCTCAGTTACAGAGCCAGAGGTCAGGGCAGGGGAATCTTAAAACCATAGAACCTTAGATTCTTAGAACCTACCTAAAGAAACAAAACTTTATACCTGTGGCCTCTAAAATTGCATAGAAGCCTGCCATAGTGGTGCACAGCTGTAATCCCAGATACTCAGAAGGCTGAAGCAGGAGGATCAAAAGTCCAAGGCCAGGGCTGGGGATTTAGCTCAGTGGTTCGGCTGCCTGCTTCATAAGTGTAAAGTCCCGAATTCAATCCCCATTACAAAAAAAAAAAGTCTAAGGCCAGCCTAGGCAATTTAGACCCTGTCTAAAACAAAACAAAACAAAAAAGCAAAATTTATACACAAAACACTTGTGGGCTTAATTCATTTATTCTATGAATATTTATTAAGTCCTTACAATGGGCCAGTCAGTGTTTGGGGTCTTAGGAAATGTGACAGAGATTAAGAATGACAAGTTTCTTACAGCTGGGTGTGGTGGTGCATGCCTCTAATGCCAGCACTCACAAAACTGAGGCAGGAGGATCATCATGAGCTCAAGACTAGCCTGGGCTACATAGTAAGTTCAAGGCCAGCCTGAACTACATAGCCAGAGTCTGTCTCAAAAACAAACAATTAAAAAAAAAAAAAGTATGACAAGTTTCTTGTCCTCATGGGGACAGAAAATAAGCCAACAAATGCATAAACATTTAGCTGGTGATACGTAATTAGAAGAAAATGAAACCAGCCATATTTTGCCAGGGGGTCAAGAGCAGAGAGAGAGAGGACAGAGTAGACAGGGTTCTGGCTACATTAGAGTAGGTGGTCAAAAAAAGAGAACTTTCTGAGAAGGAACAATTCAGTTAGTGAGAAGAAGGAGGCAGCCATGTGAAAGTGAGAGGAGAAACATTCCGGGTAGAGAGAATGGCAAGTGCAAAGGCCCTGTGGTGGGAATATATCTGGCATAAGCAGGAGAACAAGAGAGCTGTTATGGCTGGAACAAAGGAAGGGAGGGAGGACCTGCAGGAAACCAGATCAACCAGATGAGTAGGATGTAGCAAGTGAGTTCTATAGGTCAAAGAGGGGAGTTCAGAATCATAGCATGACAGGACCTTAAGCCATTGAATAAGAGAAGAGCAGAGTCTTTGAAGGGACCTCAGTGTGCTACAGTCCTAAGCATCCTTGGCAGGTGTCACGGTTGCTTTATAGAGTAAGACTCTCCATTCTATTACTGGGAGGCCTTTAAATATCATCCTGGACTGAGTGGCCCCGACTCCCTGCAGATGCTTGCCAGCCTGGCACCCACCGGGCTCCTGGAGCCACGAGTCCACCTGGACTGTGGGTGGTGGGTGACTCACACCAGGAGTTGTGTTAGTTAGGAAACAGCCACAGTGCCTTGGAGCGGTCCGTGCTCACGGAGCTCACTCGGGGCCCAGGGGCCTTCTGTCTTGTTGCTCAGCCATCTCCTCAGCATCTCCTGTCTCACAGGGTGCGTGAGGTCCCACCACTACTTTCCACAGGAAGGCACAGTCCAGGTCACATCCAGCCACGTCCCTTTGGGCAGAACTTGACCATTCGAATGTGCAGGGGAGCCTGAGAAACGCGATCTTTCACCTGGGCAGCCATACGTGAAGCTAAAAATCCAGGGTTCTGTTCTTAGCTGCCTAGAATTTCTGCTGTGCTGGTTTTCTTGTGAGACGATTCCAGACCCAGCCTCTAGGACAAAGAGTAAAAGAGGCAGAGAGGCAGGTGGAAGCAAGCGCAGGGGAAGCCAGGATGGAGGGAAGTGTCAGGCTGGGCCTGGGGTTCAGGTCACTCAGAAAGCTGGGCTACCACAAAGACAGCAAGTTAGTGGTGTTGGGAGAGTTCCCGGCAGGCCTGGGCCCCACCATTCCATAGTGTGGGGGAATCCTGATATCAGAGCCACAGGGAACAGTGAAAGAAACTTGACCCTATCCCCCACAGACCAGCACAGCTCCCAGGATTTTGACACAGGAAGTCATGGGACAAGCTTTTCAGCACCCTTTGGTTCTCTGTCGCTCCATACCAGAGGGGCAGTCCCAGGAGAAATTCTGATTGGCCAAGCCTGGTTTATATGCCCCACCCTGTAACGCCCAACTCAGCCAGGATAGGGCAGTGCTTCTTGACAGACAGCCCTACAAGAGCACACGCTGCAGAGGAGACTCAAGGCTGAGGGGTGCATGGGTACTGGGTGGAGCAGATTACCCTCTGCTAGGCTCTTATCCCTGTGCCTTTGGTGTGCTTTTGGAAAGCACAGACCTGCCTCTCAGCCCATCCCCTGGAAAGAAATAGTCTTTAAAAAAGAACGAAGGGCAAAGGGAAGAGCAAGAGCAAAGGCCCTGAGGTTGGGTGTTCCAAGAGAAAGACAGGAGGCCAGTGTGGCCAGGGAGGGATGTGCGCTTGGGAGAAGAGGGTCATGATATCCGAGGGGGCTGTGGTGAGGGGCTTGGGTATGGGGTGAGTCTCCTAAGCAGGCAACCAGATCTGGCCTTTGTGTTTAGAAAACTGACCCAGCTGTGATGGGATGAGGGTGGCACAGGCCGGAAACCTGGGAGGAGCTGCTGGGTGTCCCGGAGAGAGAAGATGGCAGTGTGTGTAGAGGCAGAAAGCTAAGGGGCCAGACAGGACTGCGCATGGGAGCGGGAGGCCCCAGTGAGGTCCCCTGCAGCCCTCAGGGAAGACGCCCCGCCCTGCCACTCTCTGATCCCTGTCACTCTGCCCCGGACAGGTTCCTCCCGAGCTTTGGCCGCAGGCAGAACTTGGCGGGCGTCCAGTACAGTCGTGTCAAGGTCTCCATGGCCTCCTGAGGAGTCCATCCGCCGGCAAGAGGCGGGCACGTCAGTGTCTGCAGGCCAACCCCAGCGTCCTGCCTGCTGGGCCCTGCGGCACAAGCTCTAGGAGGCCCTTTGGGAGTGGCCCCTGCCCCAAAGGAGGGCTCTGTGTTGGGGTCAGAGATGAAAGTCTGAGAGGCCCAAGCTCTTGCTGAGTGCAAGGCTCTGAGGGCCCTTAAGACCGTCTTCATGCCTCACTTTCCCCACTGACTTTGCACATCTGCAATATTTTTAATGAGAACATTGAGAGACTTCCTTGGACTTTCTGGACTCTTCTGGACCCTGGACTTTTTCAAGTAATCTTTGGGGTACCAATCCTGGCAGGAAGTGTCCCTAGCATCTCCCCTATCTCCACCAAGGATATCGCATCCTCTGCTGTCCTTTTCCATCTGGCGGGGAGTTTTTAGTCAGGGAGAATCCTGCCTTTGGGATGTTAGCTCTCAGTCTTGCTCATCTCCTCTAATTCTCTTGCCAAAGATATTTATCATTTACTTGAAACTCTGACTGCTTGGCAGGGACTGAATTCTAGTCCTGGGTTTGCTGGTAACAGGTCCTCTAGGAGCCTGGGCCCCGGTCTCCCCCGTGTGCAGCGGGAGGCTTGGACTGGGCTCCCCTTGAGTCCGCTTCTGACCCCAGTGGGCGGGAATCCTAAAAGCTGTGGCACAACAGACACTCAAGCTGGGTCCTTCCCGCCCTCGGGTTGCTGGCATTGCTTTGGAGGATTCAGATTTTCATTTGAAGGAAAGGAGAACAGTATCCCAGAGCTTGGACCCTAAGATCCACTGCCAGGACAGGGCAGGAGGCTTTGCCGGAAGGAGGGGTTTGAAGGTCCCACACCTTGGTGTCAGTGTGGCCTCCACTAACAGCTCCCTCAGCCTCTACTTCTGCATTTGCAGAGCGGGCACTGTTGTGTCCCCGATGGTATATTCAACCCCTGTGTCCCTTGGCCCGCAACAGCTCCTCTGTTTCTGGAGACTTCTTTATCCAGGGATGTGCTGGAGCTGGTTTGTGAGGGCTGATTATTAAATTAAACTGGTTGTTAAAAAAAAGTTACTAAAAATACATTATTTGAACTTACAATTAAATGCATTGTACAAAAGACAAAGGTAATGAATACTCAACACTGACTCCTACTTATCCCAACACACTTCCTGTTACCTGTGTTCATGTGGCCCCGGAAGTGTGCCTTCCTCACATAGCTTAGGGAACCCTACCGCTTCAGGGCTTGATTTATTGTTTTGTTGACTCCCCAAGTTAACAGCTGCTGGATCAAATGTTAGTAATGCGAATTAAATTTAAAAGTGTGCCATGTTTGTAGATGATACATTGTAAGTAGAAAATAACTACCCTAAAGAACTATTTTTCCACCATTACTAAACTATTGTCCAATTTAGCAGACACTGTGCTCACCTCATCAGTGAAGGAATTCTGAAATGGTTTGTCTAATTGCTTTTTTAAACTTTTAAATTGCAGCATTTGGGATTGAACCCGGTGAGTACTGAGCTACATCCCCAGCCCTTTTTAAAATTTTATTCTTAATACCCTGGCCAGCCTTGAATTTGAGATCCTCCTGCCTCATTCTCCTCAGCAGTTGTGATGACAGGTGTGCGCTACCATCCCCAGCTTAATTGCTCTCCTTTTCTTGTCTCATTAGTTAATGTAAATAAGGATTTCAGTCAGCTTTCATGATGTGTAACTGCCAAGCATTTTTATTTGTAGTCTAATTTTGTCAAATCGTGGCTGAATTGCAGTGATAGTCGGCTTGGGATACAAGAGATTAGCTTAAAAATCAACAAAAGGATTCTGTAAGAATTAATTGGCATATGAAGTTTGCACAAGAGGAGTTACAATAAAGAGCATTTACAACAGAGTTCATTATTATTTGTTAAGTTGTGTGCCACAAGCTCATCCTTTACCTCAATAGAAGTCACACCTGTGCACATCCGTGCTTTTCTCTGGAGGGCAGGTAAGCGTTGCCCAGCACCGCGTGGGTCTGTGTGACAGCCCCCTCCTACTTCACCTTGGAACCAAAGCTCTCTTCACTTACCTTTCCCCGCCCATCAGCTGGAAGGACCACCTTTCCACCCTTAGGGTGGCTCCTTCCCTCTCTGGATCAGCATCGTAATCTCGGAGAGGTGAAGAATGTCGTGCAGGACGGCAGGCATGGCAGGCAGTAAGGAGCAGTGGGGTCTGTGGACACTGGTGAGCCAGGGTCCCTCAGAAAGGGTTGACGACACCATTCCAGCTGGCGGCTGCCGTGTGGGAGTGTGGGCCCGATGTGGCCGGACCATCTGACTTCTCAAGGAAAGTCAGCAATTCAAATTTTCCTAATTCTCAAGTATGATGGAGGAGTCTGATTATGAAGTGTCTTCCAGACCACAGGACACATTTAGATTTTATTCTAAATGTTCTGGGAGGCCCCAGGAGCAGAGCAGAAGTGGCTGAAATGACTGAGCAATGTGATGTCAAATACTCAATGGAGGCTGGAGGGCAGAGTGAGCCTTTGCACTCACTTCCTCTCCACCACAGGTCTGAGCCCGGGGCCCAGTGTGCTGTTTGAGACCTCACGGCCTGGCCTGAGGCTTTGGAGGCTGGGTGGGATTCAGCCTATCCCTACAGTGTTTGGGACCCTACCACATTCCCAATGTGCTCCCATCGCTCCAGAATACACAGCTCGGAGGTGAGAACACGGGGAAGTCACAAGCACCACGGAAGACTGAGGTGGCCTGCGTCACTCTCTCACGTCGGACCTGCCTGGGGACGAGACATCCAACTACCTCCCAGGCAGAGATTGGCCACCCTGGGGGAGGCGGAGAGGTCCCTGCCTGGGCTGTGCATGCGGCGGATGACTGCCCACTCCTGTCCATCCCCGCAGTCTTTGCCCCATTTCTTCTCCACCCAGAACATGGTCAAGCACAAACACCCCTCTCTTTCCTGGCTTTCTCTCCGACATCCACTTCCGGATCACCGAGTTTCTGCTCATGCGCTAAGGCTTTTGCGTGTCGACATCCTCTGACCTCACTAAGATCTTTGACCTCTAAATACCAACCCTTGACTGCACCTTCTCAGCACCTATGAACCTCTTCCTGCCTACACCTTCCTTCTGGTCCATCTTTGCTCCCGTGTCGGAACCTTGTAATCTACCCCTTGTAGGTAGCCTTGTGTACCTGTAGCATTATCGATCCTGGATTAATTCACACATCCCTTGGTTTGCATGTGAGCTGTGAGTGTTGTAGGAGAAAAACTGGACAACCTGGCGAATGGGTTTCACTTAAAATCTGTGAGCCCAGTCCTCAGACTCTGCCCCCAGCGCCTCCGGGGACACAGGTCCTTGCACTCTGACTCTGCAGTTCCACAGCAAGTCTTTGGCTGACCTTTTGTCTCCCACTCTCTCAGCTGCTGACCTTGCCTTATATTTCCCTGGATGAGTAGTTCTTGGGTCAGGAACAGAGGCTGTCCCCATAATAAATCTCTTTTGGGCATAGTAATACACCACACCCCCAATTTTTAGGGGCTAATGCTCTGTGCCCAGCCGAGATACTACATTTCCCAGACTCCTTTGCAACATGTGACCAAGTTAAAGACAATCCGAATGAGCAGAAAACAGCTGGCAAGCCTTGTGGCAGAGAAAACTGACTATTCCCCTAATCTCCTTCCCCTTGCTTCCTTTTAGGAGTAGAAATCCCTTTGTTCTAGCTGTTGTCCAGCTAAAGATGACAGTTCCCAGCTTCCTCTGCAGCAGAGGTGTCATGTGACTATGTTCTGCACTTTGGCATGGGAGTGATAGCAATATGTACATCTTCTGTGTCACTTCCAAAAGGGAAGCTGTTCACATTAAATAAGCTTGCTCTTTGCCTTTCTACATACAGAATGAGTACAGAGTGATCACCTTCCACCACCAGACAGGGGGATAGTGAAGTGATAAGAGAGAGGATGCCCAGATCCACAGAAAACTGTGGACTAATTCACCTGTTGGCCCTGTTTCAATACCCATTGCTGGACTGTTATGTGAGAGAGGAATGAACTTCTACCTTGTTCCAGCAAGTAACCTGTGACAATGGATACACACCCATGGAAGGAATGGATATGCCCTTCGCCTTTCCTTCTCCATGCTTGTTGATTAAACTTAGGTTAGGGAGCCATCCTGGACCGTGCCAACAAGAACAACATCCTGGGAGGGCCTGGGATTTCGCTCAGTAGTTCAACCACCTTCCTGGAAAGTGCAAGATTCTGAGCTCAATCCTCGGTACTGAAGAAACAAACAAACAAACAAAAGAATAACATCCTGGGGGGTAGTGAAGTATCAAGCTAGTCGCAGCCTGTGTCCCTGCTAATTCTCAGCAGGGCTGCCCCAGCAGCCTGTGTTACCTGAAAGAGAAATAACTTCCATCTTGGTTAAGCCACGGTTTATTCATGTGTCTAGTACTTGAAGCCAAACTTAGCCTGACCAGTTCAGAGAGTCACCGCCTGAATGACCACCTTATCCCTCATCTCAACCCAGCCCTCCATTCTCCCACTGTCACGTAGTTCCTGCTGTAGCCTTGTTGCAAGGTGAGCATTGGAGAGGTCTTTAAGAGGGACTCATACTGCTCTCTCAAGACATTTGATTCTCATGGGAGTGAGTGAGTTCTTACTTTCACGGGAGTGGACTCATTACTGCAAGAGTGGGTTGTTATAAACCGAGGCCAGCCCTTGAGCTTTGTCTTTTCTCTTATAACTCCTGCCTGCCCTTCTGCTTCCCCACCATGTTCAGACGTGACATGAGATCTTCAGAGGATGAAGCCACCGACTTTGGACTTCCAAGTCGCCAGAACCATGAGCTAAGTAAACTCCTTTGTCTTATAAATTATTCAGTCTGTGGCATTTTGTTATGGCAACAGAAAAGGAGACATATCCTCAACAGAGAGGGACTAGATTCCAAATCACCCAGCACAGCCACCCTGCCACATCCCAGCCTCGTGTGTGTCTGGCTCCGCTTACTCATGCTCAGGAGGCTGTTGACTATAGCATGGCCACCCTGCTGTGTGGGCCACCTGCCTGATACTCACATAGGTTTTATTTGCTGCCTTGGTCATATGCACTGAAGGATCAGGTTGTCCTGCACACAGGTGAGCTATAAGGGGTGGGGGTGCGGGTGGGGTACACAGAGAGGAGGTGACCTGCCAGGAAGTGAGCACGTGCAGCCAGGAGACCCAGCCTGAGTCCTGCACTTCAGGAACATGGGCCAGTGATTTCACCTCCCTGAGTCTGTTGCTCACCTATAAAGTGAGGGCAGCAGAAGACCCCACCTCCAAGGGAAGAGCCACCAAGACGCTGGATGAAAATACACGTTCCCCGCTGCGAAAGGCTGAGCACCCACACAAAGTGTGGATCCACCTCCACGGCCCGGGGCCTGGGCAGGGCATCCCACCCGGCCCACGGGCTGTCCCAGCACCGACTCTGAACCAGGGCCAGACTCAGTTTCCACCTTTGCTCATTTTCCTTTCCAGCTCAAATATTTTCTCATCTGTGGCATAAGAGGAGATGGAATTTTGATGTGAGATGCAAGATTGTCACAGAGCCACCCTCTGAAAGTATTTCCAGACCCTCACAAGCTGGGTCTCATCCAGAGTACAGAATAATTTATTGTAGATGGCTTGGCACATGGTTTTGGAGTTTTTTCTTCCTTGTGAAATTTCTGAAGTGGAAAAGCTGACATTCTACTTTTAATTGTTCCTCACAAGATGAGGAAAGTTCCCTGTTAAAAGTCTAAATGAAGTTAAAGTCTGCAATTATAGTTGCTGTCTAATTTATTTAGTTTTACTTTGGACTACAATTGTATTAAAATTAAAACATTTGTTGATAAATATATATCCTCTGAAGTTATATAATGAACATACTCTCAATAGCCATCTGAATTCTTTTTCCCTTAAAATATTTGTCTTTACAATCATTTTACACATTATATCAATAGCCTTCACAATCTGTGTGTGTGCGTGTGTGTACATGTGTGTGTGCATGTGTGTGTGTGTGTGTGTGTGTGTGCCCACTGGTGTTGGCTTCATGAAGTTGCTAAACTCTTCCAGATTTGGGGTCTGATGCCATCCCACTCTCCTGGTTTGACGGGCTAGTTTGGTGGTTACTGTGATATGATTTCCAAAATGCTCCCTGTAGCATGTTATTCTTGCAATAATAAATATTTTGTTTTATGGAATCTGATCAATAGCATTTCAGCATCTAAAGCAAGAAAGAGATTCTTTTAAACCTCCAGCTCACATCTAGAAGGTGAATAATGCATTTGGTTTGTTTTGTAAATTAGATTGATTTCCTACCTGATTACTGAATCTCTCAGATACACAGTTTTACAGATGCCATAAACAGCCTAAATGGGCATTTATCTCTTTGACTTTTTTTTTTTTTTTTTTTTTGGTATTGGGGATCGAACTCGAGACCTGGCACTTGTGAGGCAGGCGGCGGAACCACTACACTAAATCCCCAGCCCTCTCTTTTACTTTCTAAAAGCCAGAACTACACATAATACCAAGCTGCCATCATTGCCTGAGCACTACAGCTAACACCAGTCTCGGATACATACGAATTTTCTATTTTGAATGTATGGTCATCAAACTATGAACAGCATTTATCTTGAGGTAGGAGAATGAAAGGAAATGTCAATTTGAGTACGGCTTGCTGAGTTTCCAAAGACAGTGCAGTTTCAATATAGTACATGTCATAAGGGATACTTGAGAAAAACAAACCGTAACATAACTAATAATAAGGAGGAAGTGGAAGAGAGAAGGCGCTGTGGACGGAGTGTATGTGGATTCAAGTCCTCATTTCCCTATCTTAAACATTAATCCTGTTTATTTCTTGAAGCAGAGGCTTTGATGTGCTGGGCACTGATTCTTAAACATTTAATTTGTCTGAGGAGCTGCTTTTAAGTTTTTTTAGTTAGGTGCCATCATTTGAAATTTGGGACATATCACATACAGCTTTGGATTCTGGCTTCTCCTGAAAGAGATCTGGCCCCAAGGGCCTGTATTCTGAAACCCAGCCAGCAGATGGAGCAGTCGCAGCTCCTCCCTCAGACTGGGTTTAAACCTCCCTTTTGTTAGAACCCCACCCAGCTTCTCACTCAAGCGTTTAATGGTTGCAACCTC